GTGAATCACTGTCAAATCCGTGCGGTGAACTGGATGGTGATGAGATATCACTGTGTGGAGGAGTGTATGTCACATCAAACATCGGTTCCTTTACTCCAGACTTCTGGAAGGCCTGCTTCAGAGCCATATTCTCTTGTTTTAAACGAGTATTCTGGTTCTGAAGATACTTAATGTATTCTATTGTTTTCCTTAAAATAGCTGACTTGTTTAACTGGAATTTCAAACAAATACATAAGAAAATTAAATCATCTATATAAAACAAATCTGTGAAAAATATGTAAGTATAATAAGTACTTATAGGAAAATGAGTTCATTGAAATGTTAAAATCTTTTCCAATAACAGACAATCTAATTTCAATCTTGTTATAAAAAAAAAAACTTATTTCAATCTTGTTAGATTGAAATTAGATTTTATATTTCAGACTAATAAGATTGTTTACATATAGTTTTAAAAATATTCTAAATAGAAATAAGAAAAATTAACCCATTTATTAAACAAAAGTATCACTTGATTTCGTTTATCACTAAACATGAAAGTATAACAGCTATTGCATCATACTCTCAAAAAAGCTGATGCAACATCTTAGTATCTTGGTATTAGTAAACAAATTAAATAATACATACTTTCGCTTCCTCTCCGACAAGCATATTCTTAAGTTCTACTATTCTATCATTAATACTAGTTCTGTACCGCCTCTCAATAGCATTGTGCGCACTACGTTTCACTTCTTTAACCTTCGGCACTCCCATATTAGGAGCCTGACTTAAAGTAATCTTTTCACCCTCTAGAACAACTGGTATTCCCGTTAAAAGTGTTGGGCCATTGTTACTTGTGAAAAACTGTAATGGACGGTTCTCAGTATTTGTTTTAGCATTTGTGATGATGCCTTGTGTGGTTCCTGGAACAATAATATATTATATTATTAGTACACTAAATATAAGAAAAAAAAATCATCACATTATGTTTAGAACATAAAAAATGGTATGCTACAAATGTATATGACAACATTTCTTCAAATAACTATTATATTAAAAATACCAAAGTATGTAAAATATGTTGTCATGTCTTTTCTATATATTGCAATATTTTAAAGTGATGAATCATTTAGACATTACCTTGTACAGGTGCACTGGTGTACATGAAAGTTTGTGTCTCTGGGTTAATTATATTTGATTGCAACACAACGGGAGAAAAACTTGCATCTGATGTTTTTAAAATAAGTGGGGTCACTCCTTTGGTATTGTTCTGTATCAGCAAGGGTTGGTTTGCAGGCTTCGTTTTAGCTGGCTGTGTTATTTGAGCAGTTCCGGTGTCCATGTGCACTAAGGGTTGTCTACCATCTGGAATCTGTTGCACATTTGGCGCCAAATTCACATAGACAGGACTCTGAACTACCTGCTGCACAATCATGGGGGGTTGGGTAGGCACTCTCCGACGCCCATGCTGCGTAACATCAGGCAACGGGGCACCATCATTTACAGGCAAATTATAAATATCTTCTCTTGAATTCACAGCTTGTACAGGACTACTTTTTGGTTGTGGAGTGCTTATTGAATGTGCTTTGGCTCTGTGCGCATATTGTGACACCACAGGATTTCCGATATAATTGAAGCATGGTGACAACTGGGGTTGTGATGGTACTTCAGATTTAATTTTAGTGTCAACACTTAGAAGTGGGTGATCGTCTACACGAGAGAGCTCATCTTCAAGCGTTTTCATAAAATCGCCGTCGCATCCGCTGAGAAAATCTGTAATTATTCAATAGTTGCGTATATTAGTCATAACTCATACTTAATACGACGTAACACTTGCAAGTAGTAAACACGACTTACCTTCGATTTCAGCGATGTCATTGACGTTGAAAACATCAGAATTCATAAATGAGCCATCCGGCTCTATTCCGAAATCCATTTTGTTCTCTTATATCATTTAAAAACGTATTTTTCTGTCTTCACAATAAAATAAACATGTTTACGTTTTTTGGCAGTTTTGATAGATAGTTGCTCACATTTGACTGAATTTGACATAATTCGCATGATTCCATTCAACCAATCAAAAGAAGGAAAATAGGTGGTGTGATACGACGTCATTTTCTAGTTAAGATGCGTTCAGAAACTCATAAATTGTTAGATTCTTATTAGAAAAACTGAAGCAGGAGATTATCTTTGTTTTACTTATTTTGTGTATAATAAAAACCATTTTATGGATGTTGGGAAATCAAAAATTAATATTTAAATATGTTAAAAATTGTGTATAGCATAAAATATAAATAAAGACAAGTAACATACAAATCGTTTTTCAATAAATGATAAATTGATGTAAACCACTGCTTTAGAAAATAAACTTAAATACTGAAAGAAAGTTAAAGGATTAAAAATAGGATTTATACACTTTTATTAATATAATATATAATATTATTATAAAGCTTTTTTATTTTTCTTGACATCGAGAATTATGAAATGTATAGTGTTGCCCTCTTGCATTAACATGAGGATAAAATGCTGTTCAACCAAAACCGTTTTATCTTTTTCATTCTCAGCTCTGAAGTTTGCACAATGTAAAATTGTCGATATATTTAAATAAAAACCTTTCATCTCTAGTATAGGTTCAACTCTTGTAATATAACTACCCCCCGCTAGATGGCGCTCCACAAAACAATTCTTTCTTTCCAAGCTAGATGGCGCGGTGTTGGCATTCAGAACGAGCCATCCTTGTACTTTTGGAGAATTTCCTACTTATATTTTTCGCTTCCTCGGGATAAAACCATATACGTATGAATTTCTTGGTAAAAAATAGATGGTTGTCTTTGTATTCCTTTCATTGCCATCTAGCGTGGATATTTTAAATAAAAGTGGGGTTTAATTAAAATCAGGTTTGCGGGGCATGCGCAACTGAGGCCTCGGTCTGTAGCCAAGAGAAGGAACGGAAGAGTTTTTAGTCAGTAAGAGTCTGACACCCCCTCTCGCCCCACCCTGAGCGGGGATTGATGATATTCCCCTAACAAAATAAACAAATGATAGGCGATAAGCTTAACAAGAAGACATTTTTGAATATTATAATGAAGATGATAAAAAACATAATTTTAATAGAATTTTGGTTAGATTCCTATTTCTTGTAAACTTCTTGCAGCAAGGGAAATAAAATAATCTTTAATTGATATTAAACGTTTAATTTATATTTATAACATTATATTATCTGTAAATATAGAGTTCTTACTATAATAATATGTAGTTACGAGATAAACAAACTCGATCTATTATAACTTAAGTGTATAGATACAATAGAACTACACATTAAAGTACGTAGGTACAATATTTTCAAAACTCAACTTAATTTATGAGCTATAGTAGTGCAATATCATCATACGTATTGACTTATATATATGTAGGCACAAAAATGGATATATAATAATTACAATTTAACATTTAATTAACAAAAAACGTGAGGTATTTAATTCGTATGGCGATTAGACATAAAGTACCAGTGGGCACCATAATTTCCCTAACGCCTCAAACGTGGTGACAAACCGCAGAACACAAAAGTGCCTAAGGTACACCTATTGGAATGTCCTTACAAATATAATGTTTAAATTACAACAAACAAAGGCACAAAATAGTGAGACCTACAGAAGTGTAGCTTCTACACACACAATCCGTGATTTAAATTAATTAATTAATTATTTTGATAATATTTGCATACGCATTAAGGTAGATACGTTCGTAGATATCTATGGCATTTTCAAACTAGACTAAAGTAACAAATCAGTCTTCCAATCAATTATTAGCAAATAATAAGTAATGTATTCGTTAACTTAAGATTTATATAAAATTATATGGTTACTCTTAGGATTTCAATATACATTGACACTTAGAAATCATGTAGGTAATATTAAAAGATGTGATAATTATAAAATAATAGATCGATAACAGAAGTTAAAATTGAAAATGTTAAGCTTTGTACACAGATACTAGATTTGAGAATACAAGTAGTAAGAACGACAGGTCTAAAGAGGAAATCACACAGTATTACACTCATAGATCATAATATATGAAAAATTAACTAGAATTTTACGTATAACAGCGCATTGCAACGATTTTTCTATTTACCACAAAACCTAATAATAACATTGAGCATTCTTAACTAAGTGTTGATGAAATATCTTAATTCTAATATGAACCACCGTGCTTGTGCAAAACATTTTATATTGAAGATATAGTGAGCACAACTAGATATTTAACAACGAACATTTATGGCAATCGACGAACAAATTAATAAATTAATCTAACCCGTAACGTAAGGAAACAATAAGTAATCTTGGTAGTATAGTGGTCGGTATGAAGTAACGTCGCTATCCGCGGTGACGTGTGTGCGTCGCATGCAAGGCTTCTTTCGTTTGTCCGTATCTAAAGCTGGGTACAATATGTCAATTCCCTATTTCGCGTATCAGTATGGCATGCAGCGACGCGGTGGACTAGAGTAGCTGTGGCTAGCGTGAGGTAGTAGCGGCATTTCAGTCTATAAACATCACAGTCGCGGACAACAAATTGCACAAAAACATGTCTAGGCGAAGCCGCCCAGGGCGCGCCTGCTGGCCCTTCGGCCATATGAATTACCAGTTTAACGAATAAGATATTAAATACTAGTTAAAGCTAACTTATTTTGCTATTTATTAACAAAGACATAAAAGTTATAAAACAAAAAAAACTAGAGAAGAAAATAAACAAAAATAAAATCACAAAGGGTGTCGTCCAGCGACAAACGGAAATTTGATTTCGTTTTCGAGGTTCAACGACACTTTGAAATAAATAGAGAAGAAGAAGAAAAGAGGTAGAAGAAGAGTGGCCGCGGGGCCCATTGCAATCACCCGGCCGGAGCGCCCGGTCAGCGGCGGCGTGCGCGCGCGGCACGCCCTACCAGTTAGCCTACATAAGTGCCTTACTTCTAACTTTGTACGACTAATTCAGTCTTTTCGAATGTACATTCCACGTTGTCGTTTTATTCAATCTCTTTCGCTTCCACAATCTAATGCAAAGTTACGCGGCGGAACAATAACACCCGGCGGCTGGTCTATGTCGCGGCGACGAGGTACTGACAAATCTTCGACATGATCGTCATCCTGCGCAGGCGAGCGTGGCGAGTGCGGCGGCGACCGCGGGGGCGTGCGGGGAGCCAGCGCGGCGTGTGCGGCCGCGGCCAGTGCCATCGCGTGTAGTGCTTCTCGCCCTCCGTCTCTGGCTCCTTCTAGCGCTTGTTGCAGAAAGGATGGATCTATCAAAGGCGTCGATGGGTTACCATCTTCACCTCCGCCTCCTGTTCCTGTCAAACCATAAGGGAATGCTGCTCCATTTGATTCTCTTTTGACTCCCCTACTCATAGGGCGACTGGTTGTTATTCCAAGTTTCTTCACTTTATCGTACAACGTACGTGAGGGAACGCCATATTTTCGTGATGCCTGCAATGCACTCATCCCGTTTCGCACGCATTCAATTGCTGATAAAATATCCGATCTTGTGTATTGTTTATACCGCTTCCATTCCGGTTTCTGTTGCGGCGGTACGTACGGCGCTAACCCAGCTCTCACGTCTTGTTGGAAATTAGTAGGGGGTGGAGACGGATGGAAAGTGCGTTGACTTTCATCCTCAAAAGATCTTTCTGTGTATGGAGAGTGAGCATCTTCTGACCGGTCTGATCTGGTGTAGTGAGGGGATGAAGCTCGCGAGGATAGTCTACGAGGGCGGTAGTCAAAACCGCGATGAGGACTCGAGGCGCGTTCAGATTCATGTGCCGAACCATTGGAGTGCAGCCGAGGTGGTGCGTGTTGACTAACAGGATGGCAAACAAGTGACATTGGCTGCGATGAATCCACTGGAGAGGTTTGAGCGAGAACATTTCGTAAGATTGGAGTGTCACGAGTGGCTAGCATGCTGGATAGTTTCTTACGTTTGAGAGGATTCATGTCAGCAGAATCGTAGGCTGCGGAAAGGACTGGTGCGGCGGGTGGTGGTGGCCAGCGCGAGGGAGGCGCGGGTGCAGGCGGCGACACACTGGAGGGCGCAGCGGGCACCACGCGCGGCGGGGACGCGGCTGGAGTGCGCTCGGTGCTGCCTGGCCGCCTTCGTAGTTCCGTCATATCGAAGAGACCTTTTACTTCTAGTTGTTCAGCTACTTTCATAATGTGTGGGATGTGCGCCTGCGTCACATTCACCTCACCCGTGTACATGTATTCAAGAAGAGCACGCATCTCGTAATCTTTAACACCAGGGAAAAGGATGCTGCAGTGATCCATTGGTACATCAGCCAGTATGGACTGAAAGTAGGGGGAGTTGGCAGCCAGAACGACTCGGTGGGCCTTGAAGGTGACCTGGTCGTCGACCACTAATGTGCAGTCCACGTATGTCTCCCCTTTGATGAGAGCTTCTAAGATTTCCACCAAATTGGTCTTGTGGTGATTCCACTTCAGACAAAACGTTTGCGGTCCTTCGACGCTCCCCATTTTTCTTAGCTGGGATTCTGTAAGCGAAAGAAAAATAATTTAGATGGGGGATTAAATATAAAATAATGCATACAAAATGCCTAAGCATTAAATACATTCAGAATAGAATAAGAACATTAGATGCAGATAAAGAATCACTAATATTTTAATAATAATAGGTTTGGTAATTAACAATACAAATACACTTGAAGATGAATAGTTAATTGATCGATGCGAACAACTACACTCTAACTTAATAAATTTACACACCTAAATACTTATATCGTATTGGTAAAAAAATATGAAACAATAAATAATAATATAAACAATAAAAAGTACAGGTTCCTAGTAAGTTTTTACAACTTTTAATTTCACGTTGTCACAAAATAAATAGACGTCGCATTAATTTTTTTACAGTTAAATTATTTTTTAAATTTATTAATTTAATATATACCTGGCATAATATGGTCATTAGATGAAGCAGGATACATTTTAGAAAATATTCCAAGTCACGCACAACTCGATCTAAAGTTATAATCCTTGCGTACACAGAGCTGGTGCAATGTTCGCGCGATGCGCATCGCTGTGCGACTAGCACTGACTGACGACGTACATAGCGGCTCAGCGCGACTACTCGACTGCACCGCCCTTCCCCATTTACATATTACGCTCTATAGCCCTTCCACACTGCCAAATTGACTTTTTACCTTTTATTCGGCAGGTAAAATCGAAGTTAGGGGACCGATGAAAGCAGTAACACCGAATTCCCTCCTTTTGAGTTCCCCATAAATTTGCACCACACCGGCTTACGCATTCTCATCTTTATTTTCCATTCAATTATGCATAATATTCCGTAGCAAAATTTTGGCGCTTACTATATTTTATATGAACCATGAATACGAAACAAGTCCTCAATATCAGCCGGCTACGAAGTCGTAGCACCTCTACGAAAGTAAAATTAAAAACAAATATGTAAGTGAAAACTTACCGCAAAAGAAAATGAATCCAGCGTCTACACGATAACAATGTTGTTGTTAAAAAATTTTGAAACAGGAAAACTCATGTGAAAATGTCCGCACTTGCACTTAACAAAGTTCGTAGCACGTTCGGGGTAGTTTCGCGCGAGTGGAGAAGTGTCGAGTACGCCCTGCGTGTGGGGGCGGCGTGCTCTTGCGAGCGTCTGGCAGTGACTGTGTTGGTGGAAGGCGGCCGGTCGCGGCCTGCGTTCGCCTCCTCCCCGCGCCTCGTGTGCGCTTTTTACGCACGCAGCGCAGCGTGCCGGAGTGCAGTGCAATTGCGTGCGGGCGAGAGGGCGCGGGCGCGGGGCCGGCGCGCCCGACGAATTGCAGCGCGCTGAGGAGGGCTGCCGTCGCTGTGTGCGTGAGTGCGCACGCGCATCTATACAGCAATTGCTGTAGTGTGCGCCGCGAACGCTGCTTGCTCGCCGTCAACACGATAAAATAAAGCCGAAATCAGCTTATAAAAAATTAATGCCGCGCCTCACTGCTTCTTTGTATGTTAACGTTGAACTTCGCGTTTTGATTTCGGAATTAAAAAACATCAATGGTGTTTAAGCGCCTATTGTGTTGATATTCTAATGAACATGCAGTTGTTTTCTTTACCTATAGGTGATTTATGCAGATATATTCACTTGATACTTAGCGATCGTTACTTAATTTGGTTATTAAATTTCGTAAAATAATAGAGCGTAAAATAGTAAGCTTATTGTTTCCAAAAAAAATTTTTTCCTTAATACGTAAATACACAGTTATCTAGTAATAACTTTCAGTAGTTAATTTTTTTTCGTAAACAAAAAAGATTCAATTTACATGTAGGCGTCTCAACACTAATAATAGCAGTTATACTCCGAAGCAAGTCACTGAAACGGTAAAGTAACTAATTAACTCCAACAATTTGAACGCGCAATGATTAAAATTTCGATACAACATGACCGTCCTAAAATTCCCAAAAGTGAGTGAACAACGCCACCAAACGGGGTCATTGACACATTGCTCGCGTAGGGAACGCTAAAATAGCGCGAAATGCACTCAAAAATAGACCAAAGCTGTGTGTGCAATATTTTTTGTTAGGCGAGGCTTGTCTTCCGCCAAACTTGGGGGACGCATCTTCGAAAATACGTCATTCTTATTATTTTAAGACGCGTTTAGAATAAAAGAAATAACTTTCACAATTTTTTAAGCATGAAATTCATTATAACCTGTACCTAGAAACGGAATAACTAGTGTACAAAACGATGTCTTCAATGGCTTACCCTGTGTAATGCAAAAGTTTTGGTTATTTTCACCCTTATATCCATTAGCTATGGAATATGACCGAAAAAGAGCTTAATAAAGAGTAACAAGTACTAATCAATGATACAACCGAAGTATGAAAGCTAAATTCACAACACATTAACGAAATAAAACGTCAATCTTAATGATCAGGGTTAAACATCCCATAATCAAGATGATACGGGATGCGAGACCGTCCTTGATAATACAATGAAAATAATACAGAATAGGGTATGATGGATAAATTATTGGCAGCCGTGTAGAGGGGGTGGAAGACAATGCAGTTTTGTGTACTTAACCATCGTCCAATCCAAATTATCATTTTATAACCTTGTAGGTACGCCAATGTGTGTTTAAAACTTTTAACTTGCTAAGTTAGGCAGAGCCACAGTCGTACTTATCATCAGGTCGTACAGAATGCACTGCAAAAGTCTTAAAAGATAAACAAACATGTTTAACAATTTATTGAACAATTGATATATCTACGTAAGTATAATACATAGAGAGAGACACCTCTATCCTAAAGTAAAAAACAGCGGAAATATTGAAATACGCTGATAAATTTCACTCGACAAATCTGTCACATATTCAGTCCCCAATTTTTCTCACGAATCCATGCAAACCCCGAATTCCAATAGTTATACAATGGGTGTGAATGTCAGAGCAATTCTCGCGTATCAATAGTGAAGTGTGGAGTGCACTTGAAGCCTTTCATCGGCCATTTGCATATCGATATTGGCCTCGACTCTAAGCACCAATTCAATTATTAATTCGATTACCTACGTAAACGAATGTGGGAATGTTTTGTTGGCTCTGAAATAACAATAAAATTGGCATAGGTATTAAGTCATATCGTTTCTAATCTACTATAATTGGACATAAATATATTTTAAAACTAAATTTAGAAGATGTATCTAAAAACAAAATCCAATACGTAGTCCGGAAATAAACGTAAATTTATCAATATATTTCATATTGAAATTGCGGACAATGGTATGCATCCATTAAATTAACAAAAAATAACTACAGCGGTCAACCACACGACCGTTAAAATTTCACGATAATTTGGCTATTGCTCCGGAAACACGAATGCAAATGTGCCATTGTCAATACTTACAGTTATAACCTTTGATACGAATGTCGGCGTCGATAATTAGTTTAGCGATTCGCGGAAGATGTCTCATACTTACATTAAGTATACAGGCTATTAAACTTTACCAAAACACACATTTGCAATTCATTGCAAGCCATTGAACTTATATTTAGTGACAATTGATAAACAATGTGCTTAGTGGGGGATAAAAGTGCATTATGCTAATACCAGCATAAACATAAATGCATCGCGACCTATCCCACGAACGCACGCGCAACAAAAACTGCGAGACGGAGGATAGAAAAAAGCCAATAAAAAAGCAATAATGCCATCCCGCATGGTGGCTTGTTGAGATCCAAAATTGACGAGACTGATGAACTGTAAGGGATATTTATCTATGTACGATAACTGACGCGTTACATAAAACTTCCAATTAAAATCATATGCGTGATAAAAAGCAGCCAACTACATCCCATCTCAGATTATAAATTCCAAAAACAATTTTCTTATTATCTGTATTTTTCGTAGTATTTTCATACGCAACGCTGACTATCAGTAGGCAGAAATTATCACGTGAGTAGACAATAAAACTGCTTGTGTATATTTAATACAATATTTATACATTATAAACATACAGTGGTTAGAGTAAATGCGTTAATTTTGCATAATGAGCGAAGGGTTGCCAGCATAAAGAGATAATTGTAATTTTACGCGTCCTCGTCATTTGTCACCAGCATCCTGCCACGCGTCCTTACTGAATTTATTATTTTATATTATCTGTGGGGAGCGTTACCCTTATCTACAATTAACTATTAAGAGATATTAAATAATAGACTGTACAGAATCCCTCATTTCGCACACTTCACTTTTTTATATGATTAAAGAGATTCATTGTTAAATAGAATTAATGTTTGTTTGAGTTGACTTGGATAAATGTTTTGACTCATAATAGTACCTACTGTTACGCGTTTTTTTGGGTCAATACTCATTGGTATTATGTTGTTATGTCTTCAATTCTTCTCCTACAGTTTCAGATTCTTATAGGTCTTAGAATCTAGAACTCTAGACTTTTTGAAGCATCTAACTGCTCCTGTTTTTTCATCCAGTCTGACCCTAAAGTCACGCAACAAAAACGCGGTAAGTAAATAAGTCTTACGAAGTTTAAATACGACGGTCACAATGATATCAAGGGACATGATGGCATACCTAATATATTCAGTTTGGGTCTGTGATCGTCGTCGCGTCGTCCACGCCCGGCGACCCCGGATGCGGTTCATTGTAGCGAAACTCCCCGGACCCCGAGGTGAAACAATACACTCTTTCCTTCTATTGTCTATTGCCCGCACAAGCTCCTATTCTAATTTTAAAATTTAAATACTTATATGTAAAATGCTAAATTATATTCATAAGTAGCTACCTACCTATTGTTTTATATACACTTTTTGGTCCTACAATACCACCCTTGCTCATTTATTTTATTCCAAAATTAGAAAGATATAATCATATTAACCACCCCAAAACACAATAAACATAATTCAAGTGGTAGTAACGAAAATGTCATTTTTTTCTAAGGTATAACGTCGGTTCGTTCAGAAACGGGTCAAGTGGATATAGAAAAAAAATGTATTAAATTAAAAAAATGGGCGGTTCTGCTAAGTATCGTTGTCAAAATATCGGCGAGCACCTGCCTAGACAGAGCGGCGCGTAACGAACTAACGTATCTATTATATTCAGATAATAATACTAGTCGAACATTTACACCTTTATACTAAACTTAGTTGCCATATTAGAAAAATTGTTGTAAATTTACCTGCTTATTAAAAATGTTAACTTTTTTACAATCACTCTCATAAGCACCGCTTCTTAAACAATTATAGGCTCAACACAAAGCTTTAACTATCTTGCATTTTACGACGCTTAAGCTTCATTTATCCGGCACTGCGTGATAAGCATCTTATAAAGTATATCCAGAGATAATTCGCTTCTCTCGCGGCCATGTTGCCTTCGACCGCGCCCGATAAAATAAAACAACCGCGAGCTCGACGCTTTTTGACTTTTTTTATACAGGATCATTTTTCTTGCCGACTCGGCCAAGGGATTATCTATGTGCCGTGTCATTAGAAAACAGTCCTTCGGTACATTATAATAAGGCTTCGTAGAATGTGGAGGCTGTAGAGTGGACGTCCTTGGGCGGACTCGATCTGCTAGGCGAGAGATCGTCCCATCGCGCTGCGCTGGTCGTTGCACCGAAACTATACTTTTAAAATGCATTGGAAAGTAGAAAACTTATTCTTGTGATATTTTCGAGAAACGGCTGCTCAATTACCTGTTTTTGGTATTTAAACTTGTTACTAACGTTGTATAATAATTTAATGCATAAATTAATGAAGGTAGAGTTGAAAATGATTAGGTGCCTACATAGTTATCTGTTAGCAACACTGTAAGACTAGAAAATATAAATATTTGGAAGATTGCCTTAGACTTTCAAAGAACAGATTTCTCCTCATTAGCTACAAAGTTAAATATAATAAATACGTACTAGTTTAAATATGCAAGGGAATATTTTGTAACAGTAGAGCAGTTTGTTTTAGTTCGCGCCCATCACTAATGAGTCAAAATGTGTTGCCCTCGAATTTACGACTTGACGATGTCGCTAAATGTTGAAAAAACCACCTCATGTGTCGTAACAACGGACCAAACTGCCATCATATGGGCTGTTATCTACTGTTTTAGAATACAAGTTTCGCAATTCACTTTGTCAAAATGCTTTAAAACACAGAAAATGTTACGTGACAGCCAAAAATGCAGTTGAATTGTTCTCTAGCTTAGGAAATCGTCGATAACATCTGAAAATGCAAAGAGTTATTCGTTACGATGCTTCTTAACGGTAGGTAAGTCTTGTCTAGTTCATACATCAACAATATCTAGTCATAATCATCTACAGATCATATAAATATGTAAAACCGAGTATAA